TTTCCAAATACATAGTGTTCACAAAAATTCAGGTTCCCTATTTTATCCCCACACAGTAGGTTTTGTTTACTAAGTTCTCCTAAACCTTTTTCACTGACATGGGCAAGTCTTTGGTGCCACAAGGTAGTCTTATCTAGCTCCTCAGTTGACCCAATATTAGCCACTCCACTATCAGTCTTACCTTTCAACACATACAAACCATTCCTTTTTTCAGCCTTCATAACAACCAAAGAACCTTTCAAAACACTAAGACTCCCATTAGCAGCCTTATAACTTAGACCTATAGAGTCTAAAGTTCCAAGAGAGATAAGATTTCATTTGAGGTCAGAGATATACCTAACTTCAGTAAGTGTCTTAGTTAATCCACTATGGAGATTCAGCTTAACAGATCCTATTCCCTTAATATGATAGACATTATTGTTTCCCATCATCACTTTCCCACCATCTAAGAGTTGAAACGAGCTAAACCACTCCCTATTAGGTGTCATATGATAGGTGCAACCAGTGTCTAAAATCCACTCATCACTAGTATTGCCATCTGAAATAACTAGGACCTTTGAACTCTCATAACCCTCTGATACTGCCCCTACACTACCTCCATCATCCTCTTTCTCATATTTATTTTTCTTTCTCTCAGGACAATCTCTCCTAAGGTGGCCCTCCTTATGACAGAAGAAACACTTCCATTTCCCAGGTTTGGATTTGGACCTATGTCTATTCTGCCCGCCTTTTTTCTAGTTCTTCTTCTCAGATCTTCCTTTGACTATAAGACCCTCACTATCACTCACATTTCTTTCCCTAATCCTATTTTCAGTATCCTTAGCTGAGATAGCTTCTACTACTTCTTCTAATTTCAGAGTCTGCCTATCATATTTCAAAGTCTCTTCAAAGTTCGAATAGGTTTTGGGTAAATAATTCAACAGGATCACAGCTTGATCCTCATCACCAATTTCAATAGAAATACTCTCTAAATCTTGTAAAATCTTAAGAAAATCATTCTTATTATCTTTTAGTGATTTTTGTTCATCCATCTTAAACCCAAATAAGCTATGTTTTAGAAATAACCGATTAGGAACAGTCTTTGACTGATAAAGTGAGTCTAACCTACTCCATATCTCTGCAGCAGTCTTTTCTTTCTTGACTTCTCGAAGCACTTTGTCACCCAAGCCAAGGATCAGTGAGCTTTTGTCCTAGTTCAGCATGTCTTGTTTTTTCTATGGTGGTTAATGTATCAGGTAACTCTTCTTCTCCCTTCAGAGCTAAAGCCAAGCCCTCTTTAACCAATACTGCTTCCATCTTCATTTTCCATAATCCAAAATCATTTTCACCTGTAAACTTTTCAAGCTTAAATTTAGTTGACATGTCTTTCTCACAAATCCGAAAAACATTCAGCAATAGAAAAGAAATCAGTTTAAGAAAACCTAAAACTGTATTTAGGCACGATTAAACTAGAGAAACCCTAATTGGACCTTCAATCAGGCTCTGATACCAATTTGTTAGATTTCTAGGGTTTACTTAAAACTAAATCAGCAATGAAACATTTATCAACTTAATAATTAGACATATGACAAATGAAGATAAAGAATAAAACAAGCATACACAAGACACAAAATTATAATGGTTCGGCTTTGCAGCCTACATCCACTCTCCAAGGCACATAATAGGGCATTTCATTTCAATCAAGATAGTACAGAGAGAATGATTGAATCAGAACACGAAAGATTACAGATAAAGAAAGAACACACCCAAATCTAAAAACCCTAGATTTCTTTAATACACATGCTCCATTCCTAGATCGTCATCCACCTGTCTCTGCTTCCTCTATAATCGTAGATGAAAATCAATTCTGGAACTTTCTTTAGGGGTAAGAGCTGTCGAACCAAAACAGAAAAGAGAGATGAAGTCTGCGTAAAAGTGTGATAGCCTAATCAGATAACACATTAGGTTTGGCCAAAACGACATCGCAGCAAGTGTTTAACTTTTAATTAAAGAAGCTGACTTCCACTGTGGCAAATGAGAAGCCACATCATCACACAAACAAGACATAGAGAATTAGAATGAAGAATGAAGAATTAAGAATTCCAAGGGGTTGGTCTGACGGCCGGTCAAGGAGGTTTGCTCCCTTCCTTGAATACTTGGGTTCAAACTTTGGGGCTATCTACTATAATAACATTGCGTTTTACTTTTTCTTTTAAACTTATAGAGTGTTCAATATACTCTATATATAAGTTGAGATACTTACAAGTTGACTTGGAAATCCCAGTTACCTAAAAGAAAAAGAAAAAAATTAGAATGAAGAGGGTAAAAATAATCCTTGCTAAGTGTAGAACACTGTGACTCAGTAACATTTAAAATTGCATAATAATTTCTTTTGTAATATTATTGTCATAAATGTATCCATTTAGTTTATGAATTGAAAATTATTTTTGAAAATGAACAAAAAATAAATTTCAGAATTCATTTTTATGGTTTATAATATGAAAAACTTAAAAAATATTTTTTTTCCATTTGCAAAATGTGCAGTAATTTTAACATTGTATTAAAAAAATATTCCAAATAACATTTCAAACTCATTTAATCGATGGCATTATCATAAAATATAACTAAATTTTAGATGAAACCGCCCAAAATTGAGGGTAAAAAATAGTGAAATTGTTTTGGACGGGTGTCATAGGTAGTGAAAGCAAGCACAGCATATGCAGAAAGCAAATTAAGCGGTACACCGAAACCAAAGCAGAGGTCATCATTCCAAGTTTTAGAAAACTTTTTGCCATCATGTGCTTGCATGAAACGGTGTCCCCTCCTACCGCTTATTTATGAACTGTACAAAACCTGCATGCATGCTGCCACCCATTATTAATTTAGACGGTGAACACAAAGCAACTGTGTTTTACAAGATTCCTACTTCCTCAAACCCTCTATCCTCAACATGGCAGCTAACAGATCCTTCATCGCATTCACAAAAGCTGGCACTTTGACCCCACTTGTTCTTCAGTTTTCATACATGTTAAACAATCGTTTAATTAGTCTCTTTCTCGATAAAAGAGAGTCTGAATTAATTTTATGTTATAATTATTTCTAAATAAAATCACTATAAAATCGTCATATATCACTAAAGTATAGAATTTAGTTGATTAAGCTTAGATCTTCATTATTAAATAGATACATTTTGAGTGAAAAATGTTTACGTAAAGTTTTCGAGCCTTAACCCCAACCGAGTTCATAGATATACATTTAATATTTAATATGTGGGCATACATGAACCAACTCAATCAAACCGACATTTTTATTGTTATTTGAAATAATATACGTAAAAGTCACAATATTAATTAAAAAATAATATCATGAATTCCGAAGCAAAACATCGCGATCAGGTCACTGCCTTACAAATAGAACCACTGCATTCTGCCTAGATTTAGTTATGGCTGGTATGCAGTCACCAATTTCTCTATCCATCATGAATTCGTAGCTAATATTTAACTAAAGTAGGTCAATTGGTCACGGTGCAATCAGCCACATGGCTCCGCCACATGTAATAGCTTCATTGGCTGAGTTTGTGGTCCAGTTGTGAGCTGATGAACTGGTGGATGTGGTGACAAGTTATATAGTTTAGATACAAAATGAAATGATGTTGACTTCAATCTCTTTATCTATATAGTTTAGATACAAGTTATAACCATTTCGTCCGAATTTTCCCAAACGACAGTATTTACTAATAGCTACTTTCATTCATGGCTTTGTTATTAAACTATAGGACACTCAGGTTAATTGAATAAATATTAATTGTTTCAGGTTAATAACATAATTAAGAATGCGACAGAATTATCTTTATCTTAAAGCAGATTGAAGGTCAAAACTCAAAACTGAAGTGTACCCCCCTGAAATTATAAATTATATATATAGTACCTCAATAATCAGTGGATAAAACGATTCCGATTCTGTGATCCTATTGTCTCTCTCAACTCTTAGGAAATATCGTGAAATGAGTACAATTTTTTTATGGCCCCGGAAACTTTGAATTATTGACAAAAGACAATTCAAAACAGTCTGTATGGTTCTTAACAATTGCTAGTTCTGCTTACAGAACTCACTATTAACGAAGAAAATGTGCATAAAATTGAATGCCAAACTCACCTTTTAATGCTTACTTAATTTAGTGTTTCAAATATGGATTCCGGAATACTCTTTTCTGGATCAAATTAACTATGCTATTCATTATTAATATTTTCAATAAAGAAAAGGGCCATTGCTACTTGTTTAAATACTTAGACTACATATGATTAATCGAGATACATACAAGTTGGCTCGAAAATTCATGATGCCAAAAAATAAAAAAAAGAACTTAGGCCACAACATGTAAAAATTTGGGCTACATGAATACAAAGTCATAAGGATTTTGTGCTTAGTTTGTACACCACTTTTTTTAATCAAAATCAGTGCCGAAAAAACACGATTCTAACAGTTAAAAACTGGTTCTAGAGAATAACAGCACGTTCTTCCAAGATCCGACATTGTATTAAAACCAAAAAAGCTACGCAATAATCGTCTGATTTTATGGACAAGATCCAAAATATCAGCCTATAAATATTACTATACATAGAAGGAAATAATGGCCAATACTTGGTCATCAACACCAACCAACTTTTGCTATTTTTATAAAATGCAATCAGTTTTCTTGGTATAGCTGGAATTCGTGAAGTCTGTGGTACCTTTGTGGAATAAAATTATTTTAGTGGTTTTCTCCTCTTGCAAAGGATTTTTCTAGCCTCGCCTCTAGGCTAGGTTTGAACATCCTTTGTCCTAATTATGCCCTGATTGTCAATCACCCCTTTAATTCTCTTCTTTCTTTCAACATTTTTTCATTGTCTTCATTCATGTCCCGGCTGACTAGGGGGAACTGATGTTGCAATCTTGAATGGTGAAATACAATAATTGATGTTTTTGAATCATTTTGTTGTATTTTCACCTTTCATCGATCGTTTCTTTTAACGTTCCTTCAGGATGGAGAAAGGAGTATTGATGAATAGGTATGAGCTCGGACGATTGCTTGGACAAGGGACATTCGCCAAAGTTTACCATGCGAGAAACCTCAAGACTGGCGAAAGTGTAGCCATTAAGATTATTGATAAGGAGAAGATATTGAAGGTTGGTTTGATTGATCAAATCAAACGAGAAATCTCTATAATGCACCTCGTTAGGCATCCTAATATTGTACAGCTTTATGAGGTGATGGCAAGCAAAACCAAGATATATTTCGCCATGGAGTACGTGAGAGGAGGTGAACTTTTCAACAAAGTTGCCAAAGGGAGGCTCAAAGAAGACGTTGCAAGAAAATATTTTCAACAATTGATTGGAGCCGTTGAGTTTTGTCATAGCCGAGGGGTATATCACCGGGATCTTAAACCCGAAAATCTCCTTCTTGATGAGAATGGTGACTTGAAAATTTCAGATTTTGGCTTGAGTGCATTGCTGGATTCAAGAAGGCAGGATGGTCTACTTCACACATCTTGTGGAACTCCTGCTTATGTTTCACCAGAAGTAATCAACAAGAAGGGCTATGATGGAGAAAAAGCTGATATTTGGTCATGTGGGGTTGTTCTTTATGTTCTATTGGCTGGTTATCTCCCTTTCTATGATNATATAGTTTAGATACAAGTTATAACCATTTCGTCCGAATTTTCCCAAACGACAGTATTTACTAATAGCTACTTTCATTCATGGCTTTGTTATTAAACTATAAGACACTCAGGTTAATAATATAATGAATAATGCGACAGAATTATCTTTATCTTAAAGCAGATTGAAGGTCAAAACCGAAGTTACCCCCCCTGAAATTATAAATTATATATATAGTACCTCAATAATCAGTGGATAAAACGATTCCGATTCTGTGATCCTATTGTCTCTCTCAACTCTTAGGAAATATCGTGAAATGAGTACAATTTTTTTATGGCCCCGGAAACTTTGAATTATTGACAAAAGACAATTCAAAACAGTCTGTATGGTTCTTAACAATTGCTAGTTCTGCTTACAGAACTCACTATTAACGAAGAAAATGTGCATAAAATTGAATGCCAAACTCACCTTTTAATGCTTACTTAATTTAGTGTTTCAAATATGGATTCCGGAATACTCTTTTCTGGATCAAATTAACTATGCTATTCATTATTAATATTTTCAATAAAGAAAAGGGCCATTGCTACTTGTTTAAATACTTAGACTACATATGATTAATCGAGATACATACAAGTTGGCTCGAAAATTCATGATGCCAAAAAATAAAAAAAAGAACTTAGGCCACAACATGTAAAAATTTGGGCTACATGAATACAAAGTCATAAGGATTTTGTGCTTAGTTTGTACACCACTTTTTTTAATCAAAATCAGTGCCGAAAAAACACGATTCTAACAGTTAAAAACTGGTTCTAGAGAATAACAGCACGTTCTTCCAAGATCCGACATTGTATTAAAACCAAAAAAGCTACGCAATAATCGTCTGATTTTATGGACAAGATCCAAAATATCAGCCTATAAATATTACTATACATAGAAGGAAATAATGGCCAATACTTGGTCATCAACACCAACCAACTTTTGCTATTTTTATAAAATGCAATCAGTTTTCTTGGTATAGCTGGAATTCGTGAAGTCTGTGGTACCTTTGTGGAATAAAATTATTTTAGTGGTTTTCTCCTCTTGCAAAGGATTTTTCTAGCCTCGCCTCTAGGCTAGGTTTGAACATCCTTTGTCCTAATTATGCCCTGATTGTCAATCACCCCTTTAATTCTCTTCTTTCTTTCAACATTTTTTCATTGTCTTCATTCATGTCCCGGCTGACTAGGGGGAACTGATGTTGCAATCTTGAATGGTGAAATACAATAATTGATGTTTTTGAATCATTTTGTTGTATTTTCACCTTTCATCGATCGTTTCTTTTAACGTTCCTTCAGGATGGAGAAAGGAGTATTGATGAATAGGTATGAGCTCGGACGATTGCTTGGACAAGGGACATTCGCCAAAGTTTACCATGCGAGAAACCTCAAGACTGGCGAAAGTGTAGCCATTAAGATTATTGATAAGGAGAAGATATTGAAGGTTGGTTTGATTGATCAAATCAAACGAGAAATCTCTATAATGCACCTCGTTAGGCATCCTAATATTGTACAGCTTTATGAGGTGATGGCAAGCAAAACCAAGATATATTTCGCCATGGAGTACGTGAGAGGAGGTGAACTTTTCAACAAAGTTGCCAAAGGGAGGCTCAAAGAAGACGTTGCAAGAAAATATTTTCAACAATTGATTGGAGCCGTTGAGTTTTGTCATAGCCGAGGGGTATATCACCGGGATCTTAAACCCGAAAATCTCCTTCTTGATGAGAATGGTGACTTGAAAATTTCAGATTTTGGCTTGAGTGCATTGCTGGATTCAAGAAGGCAGGATGGTCTACTTCACACATCTTGTGGAACTCCTGCTTATGTTTCACCAGAAGTAATCAACAAGAAGGGCTATGATGGAGAAAAAGCTGATATTTGGTCATGTGGGGTTGTTCTTTATGTTCTATTGGCTGGTTATCTCCCTTTCTATGATTCAAATCTCATGGAAATGTACAAGAAGATCACAAGAGGTGAATTCAAGAGGCCCAACTGGATTCCACCAGAAGTTCGGAAACTTCTTTCCAGGATTCTTGATCCGAATCCTAAAACAAGAATCACTATGGATAAGCTCATGGACAATACCTGGTTTAAGAAGAATTATGAACAACTTGAACTCCCACAATCACCACAAGGACAACAGAGAAACAAGTTGATTAGCGATATTCATGCTGCGTTCGAGTCATCAGAAAGTGAGAGTAGTACAAGTACATCAATGGCAAGCAGAAGTCCAGTTAAGCCATATCTTTTTAATGCCTTTGACATTATCTCTCTCTCCCAAGGCTTTAATTTATCAGGTTTATTCGAGAATGATATGAATAGTAGTCTAGAAACAAGATTCACTACAACAAAGTCAGCCTCTGCCATTGTGTCGAAATTCGAAGAGATAGCAGTTACAGAGAAGTGTTACTTCAACAAGAAGAATGGAACAGTGAATTTAAGACACAGCAGACAAGGAAGAAAAGGGAAGCTCGCAATAGATGCTGAAATCTTCGAAGTTACTCCTTCTTTTCATGTGGTGGAGTTGAAGAAAGCATCTGGAGATACAATAGAATATAAAAATTTCTGCAGCCATGAATTGAAGCCTTCTCTCAAGGATATAGTGTGGACTTGGCAAGGAGTTGAGTAGTCTATATCAACTGTAGCCATAATAATTCTTATAGTTTTTGCTTTATATATAGGATAACAAGAGGTACTTTTCCTGAACCCTCTTCTATTTCTGCATGCAACTCATATACGCTGCTAAACCCTTTTAACCTTTTATCCATTTCAATTCTTTCAATTCATTGTTTTTACTTTTTCTTTTGTTTTGAATTTTTTCTTTCTTGCATGTATATTGTTAATTGAATTTAAAACTATGAAGAGATTTGTATTACATTAGTCTTGTTTGGTACAGAATTCTTGACATAGAACATTATGCACTTTCAGCCTAACAAATGTGATTAAAACAGGGTATTTAAAGAGCCAAAATGAACCAAACATTGTCATTCTTGCTTAACAGGTTATATTAATTAAACTTGCGACTGAAATTTTAGATTGGAATCAAAACTTTGAGCAAATCGAAGTTGATGACAATAAAATAATGTTTCAGTACAACAGTACTGATCAAATTACTATCCTAGCTAACAGAGTGGCCTCAGAGAAGCTAGCTTTTAAGAACGTTTTTGACAAATATAAATAAATAGAAGGCAAGATCATCATGATTGTATACTAATAATGTCAGTCTAGTTATAAAACCCAGAAGAAGAGGTTTATGACTTTATGTTTAGAAGATTGAATGGCTGAATGGCATGTTATTCTTCCAACAGGAAGTCAGTCTTATTAGAAACAATTGAATGACAAGCAGTACATCTTCAAGACTAAAGAGCGACAAATCGTCCATCTACATAAACGAGATTCAGAAAGGCATTTTGGTGTACTTATAACCGGTCTTATGTTAGTATTATGGACAATGAGCATACATAATGTCAGATTGAAAGAAGATAACCTCTGCCTGAGAACGTTTTATTGTTGATTCCAGCCGTTCATGAACCAGCAGGCCGGCAGCCGGCTGCCGCCATCTTCATTTTAAAAACAACGAATAAGAAGCAATTGAAAGCTCAATTAACGGCAGGGATACTTCATTTGTTGGAAGATGTACCACAGAAGACAAAGTTTGTCCCATCAAAAAGAGTAAGTAGAATTTGGATTTTGCAGACATCATTATTGAATATTTGATTATTCTATTACCATTAATTTCAAAACGGTATTAACAGTAAATAGATCCAGTTGCAGACAATTTATCCCCACAAAGTCTAAAAGTTTCTACGTAGTTTTCAAATATAGCTATAGCGGCTATCACTTGTTTCTCATCCATTCCATATTTCCATTTGTCTTTGTCTATCTTTCGCTTGGTTCATGTACAGAAACATAACTGTTGAAAGGAAAAAGACATTGATAAAAATGTCCAATAAATCCACAACGTGCAATGTGGGTATGTGGTCTGATTGATTAGTTAGTTGAGCTAATTGATGGCAACAGCTTCCTATACTTAGAAAATAAAATATATTGTGGCCCTTCTGTAACCCCAGAAATCAAAAGAGGGAATGATGGAGGTAAAGCTAATCACGAGGAGGCTAGATTTCTTAGTAGTGGAGGGGCTAGCTCTGTCCTAAACACCTCAGTAATTTGAAAAAAAAAAAAAAAAGTCTCATTAAGTTTTACATATTTAAGATATCGTTTTGGGATGTTTATTAGGTTCACTATTTGGCTTCTTGATTAAGAAAGACAGCTCAACAAAACTTAAACAGAGCATTTCCTGTAACTGCATTCACTAAGTAAGGGATGGCTTCAAGCAACCAATGTAAATCGTCAAAAGTGGCCTAAATTTTCAAATAAAAGTTGTATAAAAATTTGTGTTTTTTCGTCAAACATGCAGAATCATCAAGGATGACATTGAATAGTTTGATCCGCCAATAATTTGGAAAAGCAATATTGGAAAAACGTGAAACACACATATATCAACATTGCAATCGAATCACGACACTCTATATCATTGACATGATACACGAAGTGGATTGTCAAACGGATTTTTTTCTACATAAATATCTATTATTGCCTAACCATACCCACGAATTAATGCTTCATGACTTATTGTTGTAATCCAAAACGACTTCACCAAATTGCGAAGCTGAAAATCGCATCAGAAAGTCAATTGGTTCTTCCAAGATCAAGAAGATATGTGTAGTATGGCTTAGCCCAGACTTTCAGAACCAAAATTCAAATATTTCAAAGTATCTTCAGTCAGCTTAATTTTTTAGAACATAAGTTTCTGTGCCATCAACTTTAAGCTGATAGCATGAACAAACGAATTGAACTTGAGATGATAATGAAATTAGAAAAAAGGAGAAACATGTTCTTGCACATTGATGCACAGAATCAAGCAGATTTTGAAGAAAACCCAACAATAAAATGAGGGAGCAAAGCAAATTAATCCCCCAGAACTCTGGAACTATCGGTCGGATAAGAACCCAATGACTACCCCTATTAGCAATCGAAAAAGGACTCAAACTCATGACCTCTTAAGTAATACACCTAAGAGTTTCTATCGAACCACTCGACCACCTAGAAGTAGTTAGGAAATTTATTTTAACCTGCTCTGGGATTTGTAAATCTTCTAGGAAGGAAATCTTATTGATTGAGATAGAATAATCATCTCTTTTTTCTCATAATCCAACAAATCCCCAGTCCTCACATCCCAAACCACAAAGTAAAACAAAGAGAAAGTGAGAGAACAACAGAATGAAGCCTTTCCCTCAATGGCACAAGTGGTCCCATGAGTCATGGATTCATGTCGCTCATCTCCATTATCCAGAAACAGTCCAGACAACCAGTTGGCCCCGCAGCCTCGGGGTCAGATTTCCACAGTGCAGTCAAAAATAATTGAGCTTTTAGTTAGAATGAATTGATAGCATAAATTTGACAAGGAGCAGTTATTAGCACAGAACAATACGCATTGGTTCATTAATTTGATTTCTATAGAGTTTCTACAGATGTCCTTCATGCCTCCAAATTATTGCCTTCCAACTTATATTCCAAGAACTGGACTTATTATAGAAATACATGACAGCACAAATCAAATAGGTTGTTTCCCAAATTTACAGCTACGAAATGCAGAAAAACAAGACCAAATTAATACTGACAGTAATGGAAGGAAAATTATGGTTTCCTTATAAAAACAACTCCAACGAAATCCCCAAGGTATGATTGCCTTTTATCTTCAAAGTTAATTCTTGCGAAAATAATCTTATTTCTGTAGCAAAGCATGGTGCTAGTTCTCAATTTTTGCTCTATAAGATCGAAGTGAATCAATTTGCTGGTTTATCTAAATCATATTTTTTAAAAGATCATCGAGTAATTTAACTGAATATATAGTTCCTGTCCATTGAAACTGACCTGGCACTTCTGTGCACTCTACTATGCTAAACTCACAAAACTGATGAAACAAAATTTAGCACCATGTTCTAGCCCAAGCTCCTTAATTTGCATAGAACTACAGCGTCTAGTACATAAACTTCCTTTCACTTCAATTATTTTTCAGATACTGCATGTCACAGAATCAAACAATGGAAGGGTAACCTAACTTTTCTAGCCATATTTCTAATTGAAACTCTCTACTTCCAATGGCATCACCTTAAAAGAATATAAGGCAAAACTGCAGCAAAATCAAAAACAGAGACGGAAGTCTTTCAAAAAATGTGACATTAAGAGAAGGAAAGCAATGTACAGATATTCAGAGATCATCGGTTTTCACAGTAACCTATCACATTGATGAAGCTCATGCAAACCACAAATTTGCAGAACTATATACCTTGTAAGTATGACACAATGAAAAGGACAAAGGAAAAAGGGAAAAAGGAAAGTGCATATATCCATTCATCATTTCAATTAGATATTGATAGAAAACAACATATAAGGCACCCACCAAAGTGCGAAGATCAGTAGAAACTTGTATTTTCATTTTCCGTATACTAATCTAATCATCTCGACATAAGAACATAACATACAATACATAATAGCATCTATTTAAGTAGCACAAGAGAACAATCAAAGCAATTAGGAAAAAAAAAAAAAAAAGGAGTACATCATACAGAGGCCTGCCTGTCTCTCTACTCAGTATCCGAGGGCAAATGAGAAGCATCAACAGCAGAAACAACTGCAGATTCTGATTCCTCCGTCATCAAATTTTGCAACCCCGGTTTCAATTCGTTATTACAAAATTCTTCATATTCTCCTCTGTCTCCTCCTTTCTTCTTTACCTCCAGTACCACCAATTTCGGTGTTAATTCAAATATTTCAGCTGCAATTGTCAAAGGCCCTTTTACACCTTCTCTAGACCCCTCCAAACTCACTCTACAATCCTTCTTCCTCACTGTAAAACTCACCACCTTAGCAATCTCCTCCAATTTGGATATAATCTTTGAAACCGGAGCTCCAGACACAAATCTCGAACCCTCTCCTCCCTCTTCAAATAATCCAGATAAATCAAATCCAGGAGAAAAGGATATAATATCAAATGCATTCAAACTAGCTGGTCTGGGTAACGAAGTTAATTTCCTTCTTGTTTCCATTTCAGATTCTGATTCGGACAATGATTGATCAGATGATGATCCCACATCCGTCTCATCATCCTCCTCAACATTACAGAGCTTATCATCCTCTATATAAAACTTTATATGCTTAAACCCTCTTTTAAACCATCTGAACTCCATGATTCCCGGAATAGTAATTCTTGTCTCAGGATTAGTATCAAGTAACCTTGATAAAAGCCTGGTTAACTCAGGAGAAAACCATCTTGGACATCTAAATTCACCCTTATAAATCTTCTTATACATAGCCATAATATTTTGATCATGAAAAGGCAAATAACCAGCCATTAACACAAATAGAATCACCCCACAAGACCAAATATCTACCTTAGCTGCCTCATAACCTTTTCTCCCTAAAACCTCCGGAGCCACATAAGCTGGAGTCCCACAAAAAGTGTGAAACAAACCATCTTGACGAATCTGATCGGACACAGCACTAAGTCCAAAGTCAGAAACTTTAAGATCACCATTCTCGTCAAGTAACAAATTTTCAGGTTTCAAA